GAGAGAGAGAGAGAGAGAGAGAGAGAGAGAACCTTAAAGTATTTGTTGCCAATAGTCTTGGATCTGATGGCCTGATCCACGCGTTGATTGTTGTCCATCGCTTTCAAACTTGTTTCACGTTATCCTAAACACCACTTCTTAGCGATTGTATGAATGGTTTGAGTAATAAATAGATTACTTATTATTAAAAGTATTTGTTATGAAATGCAAGCAATGATCACAAAAATGTGGTAATATTTACATTCAAATTGAATGATTCAATGCATAGCAAACACAGAGTGTTGACAACGAGACTGACATCCATTGACACATATTTTGCAAATAATATTCTGAATTAATTTGAATGACATTTAAGTAAATTAATACAAATATATTGTTTTACGGATATTTCTAATTTAATTTTAAATTCAATACAAATGTAATCAAAAATCAATATTTAATTAACTAATGATTTATTAATTTGGTTGTGAGACAGGATTCGAGTCTTGATAATAGATTTTAATAATTGGAAATTTAATAATTAGTTTATTGAAAATTTTATTTTAAAAGTAATTGAATTATAATTTATAAATTATAATTATGGGTAATATTATTCATAAATAACTAAATATATTATACAGTAATATGTATTAATAGTTTGTAATTATTATAACAATTTATTTTTATAAATGACTAAACATTTGAAACATTTTTACTTATAATAAAACTTCTTCTCATTGTTTACACGGATTTCAATTGCCTTTAGTTTAGGACTTTTGGCCAAAAGTCTATTGAAAACCTCATCACTGAAAACATGGCTTTCATGCCAGCACTGGATGACAAGCGTTTGCAGCGCCGGTAGTCTTGAGAGGTGTGACAAATATGATGTGTTTGTCACACAATTCCAACTACTAATCGACAGGCATTGCAGTCGCGGACAATGTTTGCCAAAATTATCCACAGTTTTATCACTCATTGCATATAAATCTAGTGTTAAATGTGTTAATCGGTGGCAGAGATGTAACGGAATCACGAATTCCTGGTCTTTTGGCGCAACATTTGTTAAATCCAAACGTTTTAAACTGTGATAACAACTCAACGAATCCATTGTATTGTCAATGATTTGGGAATCATATGAATCCAAACGAAGTGTCAATCGTTGCAATAGTTTGCAGTTTAAGCCAATTGTACGCAAAGACTCAGACAATGAGTTCTCGTAAGACAATAGATCCAAACTGAGTCTCAATTCCCGTAATTGTTTTAATCGTAACAATTGTGGCAATAATTGCGTAAATCGGAGGCAATCAGTGAATCCATGTTCTCTCCAAGAATTAATGCCACCGATTCTTGTGACCAGTGGTCCGATTGTAGTGTCCACTGTTTGAGAACTATTTTGCCATAAATTGCAGTAAATTTGCCGCAAATGCCGGCAATTGTATCGAAATAAATTCAACACTTCGGAAATGTAGTTCTCATATAAAATGGTTACTTCTCGGCAGTCAATGGTCTCAATGTTTGGACACTTTTTGGCAATTTTGGCCAAAAATTCGGTTCATTCCTAGTTTACATGACCAGAATAAAAATGGCCGCCGAGTAGATATTTGAATAGCCCTTGGTCAGTAGTTCACAGATATGGTTACCAAAGTTTGCGGAAACAATTGGTTTTCGAGATAATCGGGATCAAAGTTGTGATTTTCCCATTGAAACACATTATAAAAATACATATATACAGTATACGGGATAAGACATATACTGTATATACAGTTGTTTTGGAGATATAACATACAGTTATTCCAGTATTGTTGTCGTATTGTATATGTATATTGTTAAGTTAAGTTAAGTTAAGTTAAGTTAGGTTAGGTTAGGTTAGGTTAGGTGTAAAAAAGAGTGTTATTTTTATAATGTGTTTCAATGGGAAAATCACAACTTTGATCCCGATTATCTCGAAAACCAATTGTTTCCGCAAACTTTGGTAACCATATCTGTGAACTACTGACCAAGGGCTATTCAAATATCTACTCGGCGGCCATTTTTATTCTGGTCATGTAAACTAGGAAAACTCCAAAAATTCAAAATGATTTCTCAGTTCATACAGTAATCTTTTGAGAAATCGGTCGTCAATACTAATGTGGACAACACTCCCGAAGACAGTCCTCTGGAACTGTTTGGACACACATTCACATCGAAACCGATCTTCGAGTAAGAGATAGGATAATATGAGTCCATACAAGTCATCACCGAATCTGTCCATTGAGTTCTTCACGTAAATCGTTGGCTAAAATGTGAGAAAAACAATTAAAACTCAATTATTAGTAAATTGTTTGTGAAATACCTGTTGTCTGTTGTCTTCATTGCCGTCATCTGTGGTCTCGAGTGATGTCTTCGTTGTTGTCGTCTGTTGTGTCATATCTTAGGATCAAATGAAGTGATTGTAAGAGTGTTTGTATTTTTGTGACAAAAATGTAATAAATATTTACATTCAATGAAAGCCAACACAAAGTGTTGACAACGAGTGAGACATCTATTGATACATATTTTTTATTACATTTTAGTAAAACTTTTTACCCAAACTTTCAATGAATGAAATGCAGAATTAGTTTGTGATTAAAAATTAAATATTTTATTAAATTTTAATTAAATTAAAATTAATACAAAAATTAAATAAAAACATTATAATATCTAATACATAAAAATCCATAGGAAATAAAGCATATAAATTATGTAATGTAATGTAATATTTCTATTAATGTAAATCTATAGAAATTTGTGATAAGTTTAATGAGAGGACAGGCATTCAGGGATCAGATCACGGATTGCAAAGGGAGTAAACGAAGGGGTATTCAAACAGTTATTATTAACATAAAATTTACGGCAAAGACTTCTTCTCATTATTTCCATGGATTTCAATGAGTTTTAGTTTAGGTCTTTCGGGGAACAGGTTTTCGATATCATTATCACTCATATTATAATAATAACGGCAGTGAATGACAAGCGTTTGCAGCGCCGGTAGTCTTGAAATGTAAGTCAAATAGTTTATGTCAATCGTATTATTTTCTCTATGAATGCATAGGTAGTGAAGTCGTGGCCACTGTTTGTCAAATTTAATCTCTAATTTAGCATTAATTGCATTCAAATCAAGCGTCAAATGTGTTAATCGGTGGCAGAGTTTCAACGGTTCCAAAGAGTTGTCATCGATGGCGTCAAAGAGTGTTAAATGCAATCGTTTTAATCGGGAATAAACTTTCAACGAATCCAATGTCTTGTCATTCATATCCTTAGACCTCGAGTTCAATTGGAGTGACAATCGTTTCAATTGTTTGCAATTCACGCCAATTGTGGCCAAAGAGTCGGCCCATGAATTATAATGACATAATTCGAGTCTCAATACCCGTAATTGTGACAATTGTCCGCACATTTCGAGGCATTTATTATGAGAATAATTATTGTAAATTATAGCAACACTTTTGAGCGGCAGATTCTGTGCCACAAATGCAGACAACAGTTTTTTTATCAACACTTGATTTATAAATAAATGAAAATTTTTGTAAATTCTTTGCCAATAATTGTTGAAAAATAGCTGTAGAAGAAGTCGGACAACGAGTTGATCCGTAATCGAGACAATTGTAGGCAACGATCGAGTGATTGGTTTTCATTCGCGGAATTAATTCCAGTTATAAGTGATTCAAATTTGTAGATATTTTTGTGCTTTTTCCGAAAAATTATAATAAATTTGCTGCAAATGTCGGCAATTGTCTCGAAATATGCTCAACACTACAAGAATATCCAAATAAGTATCTTCTGCTGACTTTATTTCAATGCTTCCAATGTTTTTGCATTTCATTGCAATTCTCGTCAATATTTCATAATTTAATTTCTTTTAGAGAAAGCTCTCCTTGAGATCGATGTCCACAACACTCCCGAAGACTGTCCTCTGGAACTGTTTGGACACACATTCGTAACGGAATCGGTCTTCAAATGTGAGATATAAGACAATAAAATTTCAAATAAGTCATCTCCGAAACGATCCAAAGAATCTTTCGCAAAGATTTGAGACTAAAATGTAAGATATTAATTACAATTACAATAAAGTAATACAATAAAGTACAACAAAGTAATAATTACAATAAATAATAACAGTCTATAATAAACAGTGAAATGTTTGTCAAATACCTGTTGTCTTTTCTCGTCATTGCCATCATCTGTGGTCTCGAGTGATGTCATCAAGTGTTTCATCTGTTGTGCTATATCTTGGGATCAAATGAAGTTATTCTATGAATTGTTTGATTAAAAGAGCACTAAATAACAAATATTATTTATTAACATTACATTACTTATAAGAAATATATTATTGTGTTATATAATAAAACTCACAATTATTTGTCATTCTTTGACCCAAACGTAAGCATTGCGTACGAAATGTGAAATGCGTTCAAATAAAGGGTAATAAAAATATTTGAATTTTTTGTGAACAAAATTCGCCACAAATAGAGAGCAGAAGAACCGCACCTAAAAAGTAAACCCAAAGCCAATCATACCCTTAACCCTTAAAGCTTAAACTATAATTATATACGTTGTAAATAAACTGGGAAACTAATCTCCCAGCAGTTTGTGCATAAACTGGGAGATTAATCTCCCACACTTTAGTGTTGTTTATGCTGGGAGAATAGTCTCCCAGTTTATGCAGTTTAATGCTGGGAGAGTAATCTCCCAGTTTATGCAGTAAGCGCAGATTAAAATTAGCACTATTTATACTGTAGGGAAAAAGTCACATAACTAAATGTGAAATGCGTTCAAATAAAGGGTAATAAAAATATTTGAATTTTTTGTGAACAAAATTCGCCACAAATAGAGAGCAGAAGAACCGCACCTAAAAAGTAAACCCAAAGCCAATCATACCCTTAATGATACTTTTCCGCACAACACGCGTGTTATTTGTGAAGTAAACTCATTTATTTATCACAAGAAATACAGTAAAATATTATACAAGTATTATATTGTCAGCTAAAAAATAGTTAATATATAATTAACATTATAATATACAGTAATGTTAAACTGTTAGGCCTTATGTGCTCGCATGTTATGCCGTATGTCTTATATTATTTTTGCGCGATTCTCTCTTACAGCACGGGTGTTATACAATGCATTCGCCGGGAGTTACGTCCTGTGCCTAACCGACTGAAACACCATCAGTCGCCTAAACAATTGCTATTAATTGAATGCATACGGGAAGTGGTGTCCCGACTATACAATAACCTAATATTTTTAAACAGAATACTGTACACAGAATTTGACACTATAATAAAATATAGTCAAATTCTGAACAACATACATAAGACATAAACCACACCCAATGAATCATCACTTGTGAGTCATCAGTAGACTCAGAATATGCGCTGAGTATTAAGAATCGGAACGCATGACATTAAACTATAATTAACCAATAATAACGGCAAGACATGATGAGAGAGGGGGTATAAAACAGGCTGCAAACATAGATTCTGGACCTGTCTTTACGGGCTTTTAGATACACTCTGCGTCTCATCGCTCTCCACACACTCTATGCTCTGTTCTCTTTGCTTCACTGATATTCAATGAGAATATAGTCTTATAATAGTTAAGTGTTAGATAATATTGTGCTTCGCGAGCCTTATACTGTGAGAAGTCTTCTCTCGTTTCCATCTTAATGTAAGTCATGAATATTCTTTATATTAAATAAATATCTTTTAAACATAATTCAGTGAATAATTATTAGCGCTATTATAATTATATAAATTGTGAGCCCTATGTGGCTTCACCTTAAGTCGGGGGTTACCGATTATTATTAATTCATTGATACGAATGCTATTGATCAGACCAACTAAAGGGTTGAAGTGTTTAGTCAAATAACTAAACACATATTTCAATGATAAGTATTGTCTAAATATAGACTTGTATTTAATAATATTAATATTTGATATTTGTATTGTATTGTGATGTCTTGTCTTGTTTTGTGATTATATCTATAATTGATGTTATGGCCTACGAAAGTTTGACCATATTGAATGACCAACACGTTTGATGTTTAATGTTATAAATTAGGTCTACGGTTGCCTTGTATAATAACCGTTAGTGGGAAAGTCGAAGCACCACTATTGAATAGCTGACACCTTTCTAAATACTTTTTTCTCTATTTAATTATATTAGTATTTATTACCGAACTATAGCGTAATAACTCGCATAGTTCCTAATGTAATTAACAAACTTATTCTTATTCTTAATTCTGCTATTGAGTTTCTCAAAACTCAAAGTGTGAATAGTTTAAGGCTATGCCTTAAACTGCAAGAGTGTGTTTTAGCCTAAAGTCTGATCAATCCAAGCAGAAGACACCCGAGAGGACACGGACCACAACTGTTGGCCAGTTGCGGGCATTAAGATAAGTCAATCGAGTTAACCCCTGACGGTATAACTGCTAATGATAGCAGAATAATGAAATACATTCGCGCCTATATGTATATATTGTGTTTCGGTTATTCTCCCGAGGCCCGCAGGCCATTACCGGTCACTCTCCGCAATCGGTGCGTATCGCCGAGGGTAAATACGACCGTGTAGTTAACATTAGATCCATATACGACGATTAAGCTAATATAAAAGAACTACGAACGGGATTCTGTATCTAAACCTATGGTAATACAGTAATATATAAATACCCGATTTTCGGGAAATCGGTCCGTTGGCCAAAATAATTATACGTTTTAATCTGTCAATTATAATGTATTTAATAATATAATAGTCATTAGATTAAAATCGGCTCGTTTGATATCCTTAATTTATAGTCATATAATTCATATACAATATTATATAAATACCCGATTTTCGGTAAATCGGCCCGTTGGCCAAACAAATTATACGTTTTAATCTGTTAATTATAATGCTATTAACAAATGCTAATCGTTAGGTTAAAATCGCATCGTTTAAAATACCTTAAATAATTACTCAAAAGTAGGGTAATTGGAATTATTTATTACATAGGTTTCTATACATGACAATATCAAACAGTATATCTTTGCTAAATTATAATATCGGGAATAAAATATCAACAAATCCAATGTCATGTCATTCATATTCTTAGACCTGGAGTTCAATTGGAGTTACAATCGTTTCAATTGTTTGCAATTCACACTAATTTTACTCAAAGATTTGTTTAATGATACATGTATTGTGTAAATCTTTAATAATTTTAATTCTCTCAATAAAAATAAGTAAAAATACATTTCGTCAAAACGGTATTTAATGGTTAATAGAGCTAGTGATCAATCATAAGGTGTTTTATTGTATGACTGCAATGCGTTTACCTGCCATTCAATATTGGTTTACGCCATTCATTACGTAATGTGCATAATGTGTCTCTTCTTCCCGTATAAGAGAATTTTATTTAATTAATTTTATATAAAAACATATTTGTAGTAAAATTATTGCCATAAGTGCTATTCATTGGAAATAATGGCCAACTTTTATAAATGGTTGTTCTTCGCGGCTTTAATAGCGGTCATTAATAGCGGTCAGTATTGTATTATTTGATTTACTTTTAAGTGAAGTTTAACATTTTAAGTTATATTCCAAGACTTTAGTTAGACTTTTTGCTTAATTCATTATTTAGTCTCAACTTATAATCACGTGAGTGAGTGAGTGAGAGAGAGTGACCGGTAATGGCCTGCGGGCCTCGGGAGAATA